AGGGACCTCTTGGGCGGATTCCCAAAAGATCTTTAATTTTGATTTTGTTAAACAATTTAAATTCTCAGATTTATTTGAAACTGTTTTGAACAGACTCTTCTCATATGAAACTCTTTTTTTGGATTCTCACAGCGTATTCCATCAGGTGGGGATGGTGAGACACTGAAATTTTTTGGCCAGTCTATCCACGGAGAAATGGATTTAAATGGTGACGGCCTGACAGATGTGACTATTGGGGGCCTTGGTGGTGCTGCCCTCTTCTGGTAAGTATTTTAATAACATCCTGTTAATCTGAGACTGGGTCACCCAGAACTTGCCGAGCTCCCAGTGTGATTGGAGCTCGTATCATACCAAATATCTATTTCCTTTTGTGTTCCACTATGCAGATACAAGTTATTCAGCTGAGTGAGCTGAAAGAGTCAATATATCTTAAGAACAAAGAAGCTATAAGAAAGAAACAAGTAGAATGAACTCTTAATTTGGTGTGTCTATTATGTGGTTTACACTAAAATAGGTATTCTGTTTTAGGAGAGGTATAGGGGAAGAGAAGATCTTACAGAGGATGTATATAAACAATAAACCATCCCTAATATTGGGTTGCTTACAAGGTTTTAGAGATAATCGACTTTTTATTCATTGGCCTGATACATAGAAACAGATAATCCAGCAGCACTCTCTGAATGTTTATATTGTTGTCAAGCCTAGAGGCATCTTAAGTAATATCTTTGCTCAGCTGTTAAAATGCCCGCATCCCCCAATATGCCCAGTTCTTTCAGATACATACATTCATAATGCTTTATTTATTAAGAATAAAATAATAATTTAGTAAGCAATAACGTTAATAACCATAGCTTTAACCAGCTAAAATATCCTATTTCAAAAACTGTTCTGTTTGAAAAAAAATTACTAGGAAGTCAAGAATCAACTTAATGAGAAACCCACATGATAATTTTGAAAAATATAATAAATTTCATTAAGAAATATAAAGGAAGAGTTTCATAAGTAAAATGTCTATTCCAAGTGACCTTATGAGAAGTCCGCATGTTGATTCTCCTAAATTAATGCATTGGTTTACTGTAATTCAGGTGGAAACATACCTCAATTCTCTTTTTCCCAAAAATTTACCTAGAAGAGTAGTAAACAGTGAAAGAAAGATGAAGATAGAGAGGTGAAAATAAATGACTTTGCTGTAATTTAACATAATGCTTAAGAACTAATGGTCAAGTTAGAATGGTACAGTAAATTGTGCACATACAATAATCACTATGTTAAAAAAAAAAAAGCTTTACAGTAGAGGGGAAAGAAGACTGAGGGGTGATACCTAAGAAAAGGGAATATTAGGCAGCCGAGTGGCTGGGACTTTGGGGAGGACTCACCAGAAACCAAGGCTCAAAACCAGAAGTCAGCAGTGTCAGAGACAATGTATATATTTCAATTTTGTTTGAACTGTTAATCCTGAATTAGTTTATTATGCTCCCTTTAGCTCACAAACATTTATTTTATGAATTCTCATATTAAAAATATGTTTTCAGGATTTTTATGCTCCAGTTTTGTTTCAAGGCCTTCTTGCAAAGCTTTGCAAACTTATTTATGGCCTCTCCTGCTCCGAATCAAGGCATTGATGGGCCAAAATGATGGTCATTTCTCTAGCATAGTCCAGGCTCCATTGACAGAAGAATGGACCAAACCAAAAAACTGGGACACGAAGACTAAGATTCACAATGCCTAACAAGAAGTGAGAGTGTATACAAATGACAGAACATTTGGAAGCAAATAGTGAGGGTCTTGTCATGAGACCTGGACTGACCCCCAAGAAAGATGTGGCTGGGGCAGAGAGGATGTGTAGGGTAGATAATGGTCAAGACAGCTTCATGCCTGGAGAATCCTTATTACTAAGCAGGAAACTAGGCATGTTCATTCATTGCTGATGAAAGGGTAAACTGGTTGAAACTCATTAGAAGGTCTTTATCAATAAGTATTTAAAAGCATTCCAATGTTCCTACTTTTTACCAAGGATTTAATTTCCTAAAAATGTAAAGATACAATCTAGAAGTACGATTGAAGATGTCATCACAGCACTGTATGTAATACAATCTTTTAATAATGTTAAATTTACCACTATACTCAGAAACCATTTTTTTAAATTAAGCTAAATATCCAATGAGAGGGGACTGAATGCATAGATTATGGTATGTGCATATGCTGGTATAGTCTATTCCCATTAAAAATAATAACTTCCATTAAAAATCATATTCTCAGAAAAATGTAAATATTGGAAAGTTGTTCACTGTAATATAATGTTTTAAAAATATGTATGCATACATATGAAGATGTGCTTTTGTACATATATATATGGATGCATGTGTATATGTATATGCACATTTTCTTCTGTAAAGAAAAAACCACCAAGTGTACTAAATGTTAATGGTGGTTATTGCTGAGTGGTAGTATTACAAGTTATTTGTGTTTTCTTTATGCATTTCTATGATGTTTATATTTTCTATGAGTACATTGTTTTAACAGAAAAAAGAAAACCACCGTTTTTTTAAAGCAAAAGCATAAGTAGTGACTTCATTATTCACAAGATACGTAGTTACAAGGGGCTAGCTCTGGCCACAAGGCAGAAACCAGGTAAAAATGTGCAATAATTGTTGTAGGTTGGATATAAGACAATGGCCTCAGGATCCATATATTCCCCATGTCTAAGATCTTACTCTGATCTCATTTTGGATTAGTAGACATCATTGGGCGTTAGAGTTAAAACGATTTGAGTTTAAAATCCCAGGTTTTTCCTCTTAATAGCTTTTGACCTGGCGTAAAATATTTAACCTTTCAGAGCCCCAGTTATCAAACATAAAACAGAAATGATGTTTCTTATAATTAATCTTAAGAATTCAATGAAATAACATCCATGTCTAGCACACTGCCTCAAATGTTATTTTGCTTTTCCTTCCTAGAAATAGAGGAAGAGCTGAACTCACAAGGACTGACAATATTACAGTCCAGATGAGAGAGAGCAGGGGCCTACGAGTTACTCAGGGACCTTTAGACTTATTTCAAATTGGGAACAAACTCGTAAATCCCCAAAATATAGTTGATTCTGGGGTTCACCTGGGCACTTGGTTCCATCTCTTTTCCATCACAGGCAAAACTAGATCTTTGGCGTTTGAACCAAAAGCCCCAAATGGTTTCCAAATATAACCTGCATGTCTTAGAACATCAGATATAATCTCTTCTGTCACAAGGATTAATTAAATAAACGGAGTCCTGAGTGCTGTATTATACACGAAGCAGACCCCCTTCCATGCCCTCTCTTTGCACACCCAAGTTGATAACATTCATTAAATGTAAAAATGTGTGAGTAATCCCATTGTTTTTGTTTGGAGGTCCCGAGATGTGGCCGTAGTTAAAGTGACCATGAATTTTGAACCAAATAAAGTGAATATTCAAAAGAAAAACTGCCATATGGAGGGAAAGGAAACAGTATGCATAAATGCTACAGTGTGTTTTGATGTGAAATTAAAATCTAAAGAAGACACGATTTATGAAGCTGGTAAGCAAAATAATTATAGCAAGTACTTTTGGGTAGAGGACGATGTATTTGCTCCAGCATGATGAAACCCAGCAGGATATTGCATTTTCCCCACCATGGTGAGCTGCACATCATATTTGCCCCAGTGAATATGTAGAACCCTGAAAAAAAATTCTGCTGCAAAAGGAATAGGTTATGGAACCCAGTCAATTCTGGAGCAAAAATTACATGCTTGTATGCAGCGCCCTCAACACTGCATAGTGTCTGTCTGGCTCTCCTACTTACTATGTACAATCAGAGGCTTAAGAAAAAAATACCGATTCAGAGGTAGAGTTTAGAAATTGGGTCCCAAATGGGCCCAGTTTTCCTTCCTGTGGGTTTCTGCAAAGAATCTTCTCTCCCTTCTCTTGCCCCCTCCTGGGAAAGACTGGTATTGCAGAGAACCCGAATACTTCACCATTCCCACATTTCTGAGATCCTTGGCTCCACTGAGGTGACCCTAGTTTCTGAGAGTCACACTTGCTGTGTGTGTGTGTTCTCAGGTGCATCAGGTCAGCCTGTACTTCCTCGTCCTCCCTTTGTTCTCCACTTTCTAAGGCAGGTTTTTAATGATGTTGAAATATGCTCGAATCAAAGCTATAAAGACCATTGACTGCAGAAGAAAAATTTACTCTGTAACCAAATATAAGCAGAATGAGAAAAACCATTAATCCTTAAAATCTGTTTTCCTTGATTTGTTCCATATGTGCATGTATATGCTCTGAAATAGCCTCCTGACTAGAAAGATCAATGAGGTATAGGAATATAAAGTAATGACTTTTGTGTTTTATATGTAACTTTGTTTCAGTCTTACTTAATTTTTACAAAGTAACTAAGTGATCAAATAAGGATTATTGTAGCCTTCATATAAAGTGTAAGATTTCACTTATTTTCTTTATTGTAGTACGCTTATTTTATTGAAGCTTAATAGTGGCTTGAACATAAGCTGAGATAATATCCTTTTATATATAAATAGATTAAAATGTATATATTTGTAAACAAGTAACTAATGTATATTTTTGCCTCTATTGAAATATAACATAATCAATATTCTAACAGGGTTCCAGCATTTCTAAGGTTAAAAGGAATATTTTAAGTGAAAATATAATAATTACTGTGGTGGTCTGGAAATTAGATGATAGGTGTGCATGTGTGTATATGTGTGTGTATAAGAATTATAAACAATAAATGTAGTTAAACACTGAAAGCACAGTGAACTCAGAGAGCAGTTCTATAGAGTTCTTCAAGGTTATCTTTATGACTACTAATACCATTGTTATTATAGTGTGGATATGCTGAACAATAGAATCTTTTTCGATTGATTGCCGAAGAGATTTTTCTATAATGCTAATTTAATAATCTGTACAATATGAGAATCACTTCAAATAAACATTTCCATCAATTATTTTTTAAAATTTTTGTAGATTTGCAGTACCGTGTCACCCTAGATTCACTAAGGCAAATATCACGAAGTTTTTTCTCTGGAACTCAAGAGAGAAAAGTTCAAAGGAACATCACAGTTCGAAAATCAGAATGCACTAAGCACTCCTTCTACATGTTGGCAAGTAAATCATATATCGTAGCTGCCTTATTCCAAATCAAGAATATAGTAGAGATGTCTTATTTCAAGTCAATCGAATTCTACTGTTTTATTTCAAAATGCACTTATGATGTCATAAAGGAAATTTTATCTTGTTTGTTCATTTTTATAATAAAATCACAAGTCTAATTTTCTCATTTCCAACTATTTGTAAAACTATCTCTAGTCTTCCCTGTCTGCGTTGTGACATCCATATAGTATGGAACGGCAGAAAAAAGACACAGTGTTCTAGTGGACAAGAAACCTTACTCGTGTCTTCATTTCTTTCATTCATTCATTTATTCCTTCAGCTTGAAAACACTGAATTTCTGTGGGCTTTGTCTGTCAGTTGTGGGTGATAAGTGAATGACTGCTCTGTGGGGCAGACTGCTGGGCTGTACGCTTTCTGGGATTCATGTAACTATATATCTCGCTGTTTGACTTTAGAGCAAAGGGGAAAATTATCTGCTATTTTCTATCATCTGTAGGCTTTGTGCTACTTCGGGTTTTTTTGTTTTGTTTTGTTTTTTGTTGTAATTTTAGTAGATGAGGGAGGTTTGGAAAGCAAACTATTAATCTTGAGAGATGGCTGGTAAGCCAGTGTGAACCATTTAAAATGTGTTTTGTTGGGACATTGTGTAGATGGGGAATGTTCCCAACAGAGGGCAGGAGTTTCCTCAACATTTTCTTAAAGTGTACATGAGAGTGATAAAATTAAGAAGCAGCATGAAGGTAATGAGGAAACTGATTTTAGTAACTGACATTAAGACTTAGAGACTTGATGGTGAACTTGGAGCTTTAAAGGAACCAGGCCAATTTTCCCACTTCTGACTTATTTCTGTATTACTGATATATTCATAGTCTGTTTTCTGAAAATTGTAGTTAGGGGCAGGGGAGTGACAGAAAATGTGCATCCTTTTGTGCCACATTTGTTCTTCCTCAGTGATTTTCATGTTGATACGCTTCATGATACTTATCATGAAGCTTATTCTGTCAGCACCGGATCAATCTATTATTTGATAAAGTAACACTGGAGTTGCCCCTCCTATTTAGTTCACCAGAACTGAACACTTAGGAATTCGAATGTGGATAAAATTTGAAGGGGTATGAAACCAGATATGGCATTGCCTCCAACCTGCTAAAAATCATCTCAGTCTATGTTTGTCCACAAATTCAGTGTCTAAGCTCTGTCTAGGCACTGGTGTTTAAAGGACTGAAATATTTTCAACATTTCCAAAATTGTTTTGGAGTTTTGAATAAGCGCTTTGAAATTTGTTCTGGAGTCAGCCAGTGTCGAATTTGTATCCCAAATGTTCCACATTCTGAGAGACTTTGGCAAAGTTGTTGGTTCTCTTAGAGGCTCAGTCTTTCATCTATAAAATAAGGACAATAATAATTACTCATCTTAGAGGACTGTTGAAATAATTTGCAATAATGTATATAAAGCTCATAATTTTGAATACTACAAATGATTATTGTTATTGGTGGCATGTTAATAATATTAATCATATTCACATCCTTTCCAAAAAATTTTACATTATAAAAGTCTTGGCTGGGCGCAGTGGCTCACGCCTGTAATCCCAGCACTTTGGGAGGCCGAGGTGAGTGGATCACCTGAAGTCAGGAGTTCGAGACCAGCCTGGCCAACATGGTGAAACTCCATCTATACTAAAAACACAAAAATTAGCTGGGTGTGGTGGCGCATGCCTGTAATCCCAGCTACTCGGGAGGCTGAGGCAGGAGAATCACTCGAACCTGGAAAGTGGAGGTTGCAGTGAGCTGAGACTGCGCCACTGTACTCCAGCCTGGGTGACAGAGAGAGACTCTGTCTCAAAAAAAAAAAAAAAAAAAAAAAAAAAAAAAAAAACAACTTATAGCTCTAGGTACATATTATATTAATGAAATGTAACTCATTTTATAGAATGTTTGCCCTTCTGAAGGTAGGAAATGTTCCCAGAAGCGTTACATAATGATCTTTGGCTTGAGGTCTCAAGAAAAACTACACTGTGATGTAGGTAGCTCATATGTTGACACAACAAGGCCCTCTGAGGAGATGAAAGTGAGTCAACAGGTCATACTCTGAAACCTCCACATTTTCCTATGCCCCTTGTCAGAATGCCAATCCCTCTCCAGGAAAGTAAAAGCCTGATGAAATCTTATGTCAGATTAGATGCACAAAAATGTTGCAGTAAGCCTGACTCTTGGGGACAGAATAAGGAGGCATAACAAGATCAGAACACCTGGTAAATATGATACCAATGATATATTGTGTTTAACCCTCTAGGACAAGCATGACTTTCAGGACTCCGTGAGAATAACGTTGGACTTTAATCTTACCGATCCAGAAAATGGGCCTGTTCTTGATGATTCTCTACCGAACTCAGTACATGAATATGTAAGTCGGATTTCTTTAAAATGCAAAATACCAACTTGTGAATATTTTAGTGTCACTAGTAAACTGTGTTTTTTCACTACTCTGCATTGGTCACAAAGAAAGAACAACCAACTGGAAGAAAGAAAAAAAAGGCAAGCAGGTTTTATTCCTGGTCAGGAATGGAGAAAGCGTGAGCTCTTGCTCTAAAGACCTCCTTCTCCTCAAGCTGTGAAAACCTGGGGAATTTTAAGGAGTTAGATGTGGGGCAGGGAGGTATACGTAAGCATGTCCAGAGAGAAACTCCAGATGTACAAGTACAGATCATAAACATGCTTCCTTATACAACATATGTTCAAGAAATTGTGGCCATTTTCTTCTATGGCAGGGACTTTAGCCCTATAATGACATGTTAATGATCTAAAGGTAAAAAGGGGTTGCTGGTTCTTGTTTGCTCCATTTTCTCAATGGCTTTATCTTCCTCTGGTAATTGGCAAAATGTCCTGAAGCTCCCAGGCCATCTGGAGTTGTTTTTCAGAAAGCTTACCTACCGATAAATACAACAGAAAAAAAAAAAAAAAAAAAAAAACTGCTTAAAAAAAATGCACTTTCTCAACTATCTACTGTGTAACAAAATAATGAACTTTCTCAAAATAATGAACAAAATAATGAACTTTCTACTGTGTAACAAAATAATGAACAAAATCTGCTGTTTAAGAAAATAATGAACTTTCTCAGCCATATCTCCAGGTTTGCCCTGGTAACATTAGGAAAATCTTGAAACCCATGCACACATAACCCTAAATCAATTTGAAATGTTTTAAAAAAGAATTAGGCTTTTCTAGACTTTTCCCAATCCTTCTAATTTCCTATTGTTGGAGTTTAAGAAAACTAATAAATGACACTCATTTTCACCTCGCTTGAATTTAGGACCAATGGAAAGAAATCTCCCCTGTTATTCTAATTAGCACTGGATTGCAGTGTATGGTTTAGGTATAAAGATAGTCGTCACACTGAAGCGTTGACTTAGACCACGGATAACCACCTACATCATCAGCAGTGCTGATCCATCTCTGTCCTTCTTCATGGAGCCCACCTTGTAAAACTTGTCAGATGGAGTAGAGCCAAATGTGTGCTTCCTGTGGGTACACAGCTGCTCTGAGAATAGAAACGAGAGAAGGGGACTGAGTTGTGTTCACTTAGTTCCTGTTCCCAAAGTTAGAGCCCATGTGCCACCCCTGAGAGTGAGTGAGGGGAGAGAAGAGGGAGGGTGTCACTAGCGTGGCTCCAGTGGAGGAGACATTAGGGATGGGGAATTCTTTTTCCCCATACACCTCTCTTCCACTCTCTCTTCCTTCCTACCAGATATATTTATTATCTTATACACACCAGGCATTGGAACTTACCGTCTAACACTGGAAACAGGTATTAAGTAGTAATTAGAGCGTATGCTATGGAGGAGGATTTCAGAGCTCTACGGGAACTTCCACCTAGGCTGGGAAGTCAGGAGAGCCCTCCTGCAGTTGTGCCATTTCAGTGGAGCCCTGAAGGATAGGGCGATTTCCACCCAATTTAGGGGAGTTTGGGGAGCAGAGGGGATGCTAAGTGTGAAAGTCCTGAGCATGAAGGGAACAACGACACTCGCTAGTGTGACTGACACTAAAGAGCAAGAAAGGAGGGGATGTGAGGTGCGGCTGGAGGTAAAGGCAGGGGCCATGTCATTCGGAACTTGGTGCCGCTGCACAAATTCTAAACTTTTGAAAGAGCAGCGCGGTGTTTTGAAGCTTTTTATTTGGTTCAGTCATGGGACAGAATGCAGCAGAGTGAAGAGTGGTTGGAGGGAAACAGGTGGATGTGGGAGCCCAGTGGGAAGCTATTACTTTAGTTCGGGGAGGAAATGAGAATTCTTGGGCGAGAGATGGTGGTGGGAATGCAAAAGCAAGAAAGGATTGGAGAGAGATTTAGAAGAGGAGTAGAATGGACAGGGCTTGGTGAGTTACATATGGTGGTGGTGGAGAGGCTGTCAATGAAGAAGAATCAAGCAAAACTCCTAGATTTGTGGCTTGACCATTTTCCACCCTCTCAACTGAGCTTTATGACATTCCTAAGTATTTGATTGATTTTAAGAGAAAAATCTCATAATTAGAGTGAATAGATTTAGATCTTGCAGTACTTGCCTTTGTATTTCAAAACTGCCCTTCCCTGGCAGACAAAAGCCAGTACAAAGCACCCATGAAAATTGTTCATTCTTAAAAGGATTAGCACAATTTACATTCATAAGTAAATGTTTATTCTTCTTTTTTTATAGAATAAAAAAAAGTTTATTCTATAATTATAGGGATAATTATAAAATCCCTTAAGATTTTTGCAGGGAAATTTTCTTTATGAGTTGCTTAACTTACTTTGGCTGTATGCCATTTTTGTTACACAAATTGATGGGTAATTTTCAATAATGCGTAGCGAAATTTTGAAAAATTCTTTCCTGTCATCATTTCAGATTCCTTTTGCCAAAGATTGTGGAAACAAGGAAAAATGTATCTCGGACCTCAGCCTGCATGTCGCCACCACAGAAAAGGACCTGCTAATTGTCCGGTCCCAGAATGATAAGTTCAATGTTAGCCTCACAGTCAAAAATACAAAGGACAGTGCCTACAATACCAGGACAATAGTGCATTATTCTCCAAATCTAGTTTTTTCAGGAATTGAGGTAAACTTTTAGTTTTTCATTTATTTATTCTCTTAACAGTCATTTACCGAGCCTACTTTTCATGCTACTGAGATAATTGCTTTTATTAGATTGATTTTAAAAGAATAGAAGGAATTTTTTACATTAGTCCTCACCAATGGTGAAAGTATTAAGCTTTTTAAAAAAGTTTTATTTATTCAAATATGTATGTCTTTTCTTAGATTCTGTATGAGGAAAGGATAGCTCATGTATAAAAATTGTATGTTTTACAAAATCCTGAAACCACTGAAACTGAAACGGAGTCAAGGAAAACAACAACAGTCAAAGCCAAAACAGTTTACCAGAGGTACAGAGAGTTTCCTCTGTGTTGAGCAAAACAATTTTACCTGCAGGAAAATCAAGATGTCATATATCCCTTTCTATGCAAAGTCCTTACTTTGGCAAGATACTTGTATTAAATAACTGTGTCTTATTGATTCGTAACAGAAGTTTCTTTTATTATGTTGGCAAAAAAACTATATTAATCTGTGTAAGATGCTATATCAGAGGTAATCAGCGTTTCCAAATTTGAACTTTGCTTTTAATTCTGATCTCCAAATGAATCCCACTGAGTTAAAATTTTGTGTATATTTATATTAATTAATATTACATACAATTTATATTAAAAACAATGCACTTATTAATATTATATGTAGTATTAAAACACTATTGTCTACTTTCTGTAAACTCAGATTTCACGGACATTTCTCTCTATCTATTAGGATGTCACTTAGAGACATGATGACTACGACAAACCTAAAAATAATGTCCTATATTACTATACTTTGGATTCAATTAAGAATATTAATTATAGGCTGGGCACAGTGGCTCATGCCTGTAATCCCAGCACTTTGGGAGACTGAGGCGGGCGGATCATGAAGTCAGGAGATTGAGACCTTCCAGGCTAACACGGTGAAACCCCGTCTCTACTAAAAATACAAAAAATTAGCAAGGCATGGTGGCATGCACCTGTAGTCCCAGCTACTTGGGAGGCTGAGGCAGGAGAATTGCTCGAACCTGGGAGGCGGAGGTTTCAGTGAGCCGAGATCACTCCACTGCACTCCAGCCTGGGTGACAGAGAGAGAACAAGACTCTGTCTCAAAAAATAATAATAATTATTAAAATTATAAATATAGATGTACAAAGTAATCTTGGGGAAAATATTACCACAAATTTATTCTCTGTTAAAAACTATTGCCTATATCCTCCTCAGCTGATTTAATGGCCTGGCAGAGAGACATAGCTAAAAATCTGACAGTGCATCTCTTCTGTGTATATTAACAATAACAACGGTAATAACGATGGCAACCATTTATTGAGTCACATCATGTTTTAGGCCCTGTTCTAAGGGTTTCACTTATTTAATTTTCATTAATTATTTTGTAAGTAGGTATGACTGTACTGCAGAGAAGCGAAGCTAAAACCTTTTTTTCCTGTTTTAACATTCTTGTAATTGCATTTTACAATTGATAACATGTTTATTTACCTGGCAGTGTTATTTTTCCTTCTTATGGGTATGTAAAAATAATGGCATATCTCATGTTCAATGGCATTTTAAATTGCACAAAATAGAGTATATGACTAAACCACTTGAACGAAAATCAGTCCGAGAGAGGTGAGGAATCTTAACAAGGATAAAGCTAACAGTTGTGCAGTCAGGGTTTAAATTCTGGTGGTCATGGGTCAGAGCCTATGCTCTTATCCACTGCACTAAACTCCTCCAATGACTGACATTCAATGAAGGCTGCTCTGTGCCAGTCTTGGGTGTGTGGATTATTTTATGCGGCCACCGCAATCACCCTGTGAGGGGGTGCTATTAGTACTTCCATTTTAAAACTGAAGATGTAGGCAGGATTGTGAGATATGCTTTGTCTTTCAGGCACCCACAAGTGGTGTTTTAGGATTTCCATGAGTGTAGAACAGCTGGTCCCAGAATTCTGTTCCTCTTCCAGCTAAATCAAGACAAAAATACTGGCAAGGCAGTCACCAAGACACATCTGGGAAAATTCTGAAAGAACACGTTTCAGTATTTCAGCTGCTTGTCCGCTCTGATTCTGTTTACTTTCTCTTCCTAGGCTATCCAAAAAGACAGTTGTGAATCCAATCATAATATCACATGTAAAGTTGGATATCCCTTCCTGAGAAAAGGAGAGATGGTGAGCAGGTTATACAAAATACATGGGGAAATTGAATATGAAAAGTAGTATGTGCAAAGACAAACATATAAATCCTTCCAATGGTAGTTTAGGATAATACAGATGAAAAATGTTCAGTTCAAAATTGTGACAGATTGGAATATGCTATGGTCAGAATGTTTGTGCCCCAACAAAATTCGTATGTTAATACTTAATCCCCAATGTGATAGTAGTAAAAGATGAGGCCTTTAGGAAGTCATTAGGTCCAGAGGGTGGAGCTCTCATAAGGGATTAGTGCCCTCATCAGAGAGGCTTGAGGGAGACTGCTCATCCCTTCTACCATGCGAGAACACATAGCAGGTACCATCTATGAGAACTGGGTGTTTCCAGACACTGAATCTGTTGGTGCCTTGATCTTGGACTTCCCAACCCTCAGAACTGTGAGCAAAATATTTCTGTTATTTATAAATTGCCTGGTGTAAGGTATTTTGTACAAGGTATAAGGTACACAATACGTTATACCAGGCAATTTATAAATAACAGAAACATATTGTAACAACCTTGTAACACTTCTCACACAGGCAAACTCAAACACCAAGACAAGATTTAAAGTTTATACTATGTAATATATCTAATTTATATTAGATAACATATCTCATAAAATGGAGCTGGGAGATTCTGTTATTGGAGTCTCCTAGGTAGTAGGTGTTTCTGGCCTTCAAGAAAAAGAATGCTTCAAATAGATTGGTGTAGAACTTAATTCAGAAATTCTCCTTCCATCTCTCTCTTTTTAAAAACCAATTGCCTTATTGAGATATAATTCATGTAGCATAGAGTTCACTCATTCAAAGTGTGTATTTCATTGGATTTTAGTACATTCACCAAATTATAAATTGTACAGTCATTATGACAATTGAGTTTAGAACATTTTCACACACCACAAAGAAACCACATATGCATTGGCAGTCACTCTGATTTTCCTCAACAGCCTTTCTCCCAATCCCAGGCAACCACTAATCTACTTTCTTTTTCTATGGAATGAATTTAGTTTCCAAATATTAATTGACTTTTATTTGCAGTTCTAGAATCAGGCAACACCTTATTCTGTAAAATAAAATGAGTGATGGAAGAGCTGAGGAGAGGATGTTGGCTTTACAGACAGAAAAGGTCTAAAGAAAGCAGAAACAGAACGAAAAGTTGATTGGTCATTTCAAAGTTATTTTCCTTGTAAAAGTGAAAGTAGAGGGGATTTTCTTATCATGCTGTCTGAAACTGGCTTGACTGGGGATTTGGTGATTATCTCTCACTTTCCTCATCTCTCAAAAATTCAGACAAGTGATTCAATTTCGGCTTTATGGTGTGGAACTTAAGCATTATTTAGTCTGTTGGGCCTAGAGCAAGAGCTCAGTCCAAACCAGTGACCTCCTATACATTTTATTTAACATGTTTCTTAGTCTATTCTGGCTGCTATAACTAAATACTATAAACTGAGTAGCTTATAAACCAGAAGTTTATTTCTCACAGTTCCGGAAGCTGGGAAGTCCAAGGTAAATGCACTGATAGATCCAGTGTCTGGTGAGGGCCCATTTCATGCTTCATAGAAGACGTCTTTTCAATGCATCCTCAGATAGCAGAAGCAGGGAGGCAGCTTCCTGAGTCCCCTGTTACAAGGTACTCATCCCACTCATGCAGGCTCTGCCATTATGATCTCATCAGCTGCCCAAAGGCCCCATCACCTAATATCATCACATTGGTGTTTAGGTTTCAACACATGAATTTTGAGGGGAAACATTCACATCATAGCAATATGTAAAACATGGTACACATTCACATTGAAAAGAATGTGTATATTATATATTATTCTATTTTTGAGATACAATAAGGTTTCATTTTGTAAGACAATGTTTCTCAAATAACTTCATAATTTGAGTTTAGGTAATGTCATTTGTGGAAATTGAATATTTTAGTCAAAGTAAACAATTTCTTATCTGTTACTAAAGACTTATTTTTATTTTATAGGTAACTTTCAAAATATTGTTTCAGTTTAACACATCCTATCTCATGGAAAATGTGACCATTTATTTAAATGCAACAAGGTGGGTTTACATGTGTATAAATATAAGTATATGAATGTATATCGCTGCTTCTGTGTATTTTGAATATTTTGTTCTATAAACTCACTGACAGTTTCTTCCAGGTTGTAGGAGATCAGTAGAAGTGGAAGGCAATTAACCACTTTGCTTCACAAAAACACCCTTATGAATGATTAGTAAAATAAAGAAATTTTCATTTAATAGAAATGATTCACCTAACTAGATTAAATCAATGAGCTATAGAAGATACCATAATCACATATCATTTATATCTGCCAACTTGCATTTAAATTCATAAAAAATTTACTGATAATTTAAAAACTTTCACTGACTGCCCATCGAGGTCAAATGAATCATTAGATGGACTTAAAGTTTTGTGATATCCTTTTGTAATTTAATATACTTTATTCAAATCAGTCAGAACTTCTGAAAGGTATCATAGAACACACAGAATAACAACAGCAAAGGCCCAATAAGGAAAGTGAAATAGTGGTCTTTCTTCCAATTGTATTTATCCACTGACCTGTCTCCAGTGAGATAGTGTCTTTTACTGTTTTATTCACAGTGACTAGCATTGTGCCTGCCATATTATAATCACTACATAGATGTAGACTAAATGAATAAATTGGAGAAATGAATTAATGGATTAATTAATTCTGTACATTAAGTCAACTCAACAAACTTTTATTTGACAACTATTATGCACAAGATATTGAATCGGTCACTGATACTGAATTAGTCACTGTAAGGAATATAAAAATTACATAAGGTAAGTATTACAGTAGGAGGTTGAGACTAGCATAAAATTATTGTAACCTGGGATAGAATAAAAACAATCCATTATAGAGATATAAAGCTGTGTCAGAAAATTACTGGAAGCTGAAATAATTTCTACTTGGCAATGGGAACCCAAGAAAGCTTTATCAAGGAAATTATAATTGAGAAAGACGTTGAAGGGTAGACAGCCTTTCACAGAGAGGTCAGTGAATAGCACTAGGTGGAGCATTTCAGGCAAAATATACAGCTTAATTAAAAAGGTTATCAATTTTCCCTGAAACATAAAGAATACATAAAGTAGCAATGGAAATAAGCAGGAAGTGTGCATTCTATCATATTACGCTAGGCACTGAATGTCAGTCAAGGTATTATTTCTGAATTGAACAGATCATGAAAAGCCAGTAAAGTTTCTGAGAGGTAAAGTCATCTGTACAGAGCTGCTGCTCATGGAGACTGATTTAGGAAGGCTCTGTGTGGAATGGGTGAGAGAAAAGGGGACCATTCACGCTAAGAGCTGAGTCACACAAATACCTATAATCCAAGGCAGCATGCTAGCTTTCTCTGTCCTGCTGCTTCTGAGCCACTTTACACATTTGGGAATAACCAGAGTCATTAAAAAGTACTCTTATGCCCATTCTGTGAGACAATATGTTAGGTGCTTGGTCAGTTGGTGGAGGGGTATGTGTGATAGTAATAATGAAAGCTAACACTGAAGATTTCCTATGTCCTAAGCACAGTCTTAAGCACTTTATACTTATTACTCATTTAATCATCATGTATTACTCATTTAATATCCCATTTTATAGATGAAGAAACCAAGGCAAACACAGATGAGTAATTTGACCAACATATATCAGTGTCCAAGAACAATCCCATTCTCTGGCCCCGGAGCCAGTGTTCATTACTCATTGTATCATTTGTATGTGCTTTCTAATATGAAGAAGTATGTATATGTGTGTATACACATATATACATGTGTTTACATAATATGTAATTAAAGTGATAACCAAAATCAAAGGAATAAATCAGTGCTTAACAAATAATATGATCATCAAGTACTTAGTATAGAAAGACTATTAAAGAAGAAAACAAAAGATTTTAGATTTACTCTCAGCTGTGTGACCCTAATCACTTATCTTTGCTAAGTCCTCATCTGTGATAAATAAGAATCACCTGGGGGTAGATATGTGGTTAAAAACAGAAATTCCTGGGCCCCAAGTTGGAACCACTACATCCACATTTCTAAGGGAAGCCCAGTTATCTCTGTATTTTAACAATTAAACCCAGGGATTCTCATCATTATAGTCATAAAATTTTGAAAAACGTAAGTCAGTGTGATTGTCAACTCTAGTTGCACATCAGAATCAACTTGGGAACGTTCAACCATGCCAATCATTTCTGATCTCCTTCTTCACCCCAATTTAAAAAATAATTAAAAATTATACTCTTAGATGCTTTTATTTAGTTGCCAGGACAAGCTTCTCTTTCAAACACTTAGAAATATCTCTAAATAGTCAAGATTTTAATGGTTTGTCTGAATGTGCTGTGTATTTTCTAGCGACAGTGAAGAACCTCCTGAAACCCTTTCTGATAATGTAGTAAACATTTCTATTCCGGTAAAATATGAAGTTGGACTACAGTTTTACAGGTAAGAGAAAACTGCATTTTTATGTTGATGCCTTTCTATTAACCCAGTGGTTCTGAAAGTGTGGTCCCTGGCTGGCCAAGGGCATCAGCATCTTCTGGAAACTTGTTAGGCAAATTCTCTGGCCCCACCCGAAACCTACCGAATCAGAAACTCAGAGGACGGGGTTAAACAAGCCTTCCAGGTAATTCTCATGCATCCTAATGCATAACCCAAAATGTTAGGTGTTAGTGATTCCAGATTGCATTCGCTGTCCAGCATTAACTCCTGAATGCAAGTTGAAGACCCAAAAATCCTACACAAAACACAATATTTTCTTAGAGGCCACCAGCATATTTCTTGGTCATTGTTCTCATCCTGTGGAAGCTGATCAGTCTTCTCAATCTGGACACACAAGATTAAAGCATTTCTCATTGATAAGAACTGTTTATTTCTTCCACCATTCATAAACCATTCTTTCTCTTAAGAACTTCTTATCTATCCAAACACAAACCATGTTAACAAACTTTCTCTCTATAATTTTCCCTGCTTAAGCAGAATTCCAAGCTTTTGCTAAATAAACATGTGCAATGTATATATAAAGTATAAGAATCATTGGCAAGTTGGTTTATTCTAAAAGTCTTATCATTTTATTAATTTTTTAAAAATGGTGGCTAACATTTATTGAGCCTTTGTGTTCTGTCTTATCTGATCCTTATGATAATGCTATGGTTCAAATACAACTACTATCTCCATTTTCCAGTTGAAGAATTTGAGGTTCAGAGAGGCTAATTTACCCAAGGTTATATATTCAGGAAGTGTTAGTTTAAACCATTTCACATGCTTTTTTTTTTTTTTTTCTTTTAATTTGAAAACTATTTTAAATTGACACATAATAATTGTACATACTTATAAGGTGCTTGGAGATGTTGTGATGCACGTAATTTATAACAATTAAATAGGGTAATTAGAACATGCATCGTCTCAAACATTTATCTTTTTTTGCATTGGGAACATTCAATATCTTCCTTCTGGCTTCATTTATTATCTATGGCACTCTCTCTGTACTAACTGGAGACTACAAAAATGGCATGATTATAGGATATACATATAGATTGTGCTAATATTTCTCAGCCTTTAAATTCTGTTGGCTGTTTTCTATTTTTCTGTATGCACTTCTATTGATGCACTGACTTTTCCCCAAGAGTTTTCCATTTACTTAAAATCAAATTTTGGCGAACACTTAAAAATATGTTTGTCTTCCCTTGACTGAAGTGCGGCTTAAAAACATGCTATTTTACTCTACCAAGTTCATCCAAAGAAGATGGTGACTGTGTGGAGAAGATTAAACTTTTAAGTTTAGCAGTAAATATAGGACTTTAAATTATGAAATGGCAAAAATTTTAAATCTATTTATAATTCAGCATTACATTTTAACTTCATTTTTCAATAGGTATAAATGGTATTAGTGAATTTATGGAAATTTTTCACTTGTTAACAATGAAATTTTAACTTTTAAAACTCATATTCTAGCATTTTGGGGACAAATAAGCATCAGTGACTATTGAACTAAATTATATAATCCTTTTCACTCTCCTCAAAGATTTAATTTTAGCTTTCAAGGTAAATGAATTCCCCTGTGATTTGAAATCCCTACAAATATTTTTGTGGAATTACATGATATGGAGAAAGAAAATAATGAGGCCAAATAAAAGTTAAACTTTATTATGTTTTATTTTTCTTCTTCTAATTAATTCTTTTAAGCTCTGCAAGTGAATACCACATTTCAATTGCTGCCAATGAGACAGTCCCTGAAGTTATTAATTCTACGGAGGACATTGGAAATGAAATTAATATCTTCTACCTGGTAAGAAATTACCTCTAAAATAGTATTCTAATGGAATTATTTGTAAATATATAAATTAAAGTATTAACAGATGCATAAAAACATGTTCCTTCAATGTTTAGTCTCTATATTCCAGCATATTCTCTTTATAATTTCATAAATATAAATATAAGCATATTATATATAATTATAATTTTCCATTTATGTTTTTCTTTGTAATTCCACTGAATGTTTAAATTTGTGATAATTATATTTTCAAATCAATTTAGAGATCTAAGTCTCTAATTTCCTCAAAATGACATACCATTAGAATGGCTTTCTAGAAAAAAATATAAACTA